CATGGGGAGCATGGTCTGTGAGAAGCAGTTAGAGGCCTGGGTGTCAGGGGAGGGTGTAGATGGTTCTGTGTTTGGTGTTTGGGGGGGGTGATGGGGGGAGGGGGTGGTGTTGGGTTTGTTGTCTGTGAGGTGGTGAGGGGTGGGGGCGAGAGTAGGGGTGGTACTGGGTTTGATGCCTGGGGGGTGATGGGGGGTGGGGAAGAGAGTAGGGGTGGTGCTGGGTTTTCTGTCTGGGAGGTGATGAGAGGTGGGGGTTGTACTGGGTTTGTTGCCTGGGGTGTGATAGAAGGTGGGGAAGAGGGTGTGGGTGGTGCTGGGTTTTTTGTCTGGGAGGTGGTGAGGGGTGGGGGTGGTACTGGGTTTGATGCCTGGAGTGTGATAAGGGGTGGGGGTGATACTGGGTTTGGTGTCTGGGGAGTAATAAGGGGTGGTGGTGGTGTAAGTGCTTGTGGGGTGATGGGGGGAGGTGTTAGGGGTTGTACTGGTTGTGACGCCAAGCTGGGAGGGATGACTATTGGAGGGAGGTTGTTTGCTAGTAGGATTTGTTGGATGTTGGAAATTGCCTTCCTCGTGTCTCCTTGTGCTGATATCTGTGCTATTATGATAGCTGCCACTATTCTCGGGGTGTCGTCTGTTGTTGGGTGAGGGGGGGGAGGGGGGGCCTGAGTATGGTGGTTTGCGAGATGGTGTCCGCTGGTGGTGTGGGTTTGGAGAGGTGGGAAACCTGGGGGGGTGGGGAGCAGGGCACCTCTACCTTGAGGGTTGATGGGTATTGTTTGAGCATTTTGGGGAAGTGTGTTGGGGCGGTGAAGCTGGTTAGTGAGGTTTTGGGGATAAAGCTGGCGTGCTGTCTGGGCATGATATTGGGGTAGTGTGTTTTGGGTCTTATTCCTCATTGCCTTGATGAGTTGCACCCTGATTTTGCAATTGTGGTGGGTGGCAGGATGGTTTTCACCACAGTTTATACAGCATCGTGTTCCTTCTGTGCAATCTTTCCAGAAATGTCCTTTGTTGGCGCATAAGGAGCAGGCTTGTTCCTTTTCCTTGCATTGCCTGGTGGTATGGTTGAATCCATAGCACCTGAAGCATTGTGTAATGGACTGGTATGTGCTCATCTTGAAGTTATAATGTGGGATGGAAATGTGGTCTGCTTTAAAGCCATGTGTGAGGAGGGATTCAGCTTCAGTGGGGGAGGAGCAACGGATTCTGAGGATCTTTGTGTTTGGTGGGTGGAAGAGATCTTCTATGATGATGTTGTTGGCTTTTCCGATGTCGGCAGTACGTTGTTTGTCTAAAGTTGTAATCGTGGAGAGGAGGGTGGTGTCTACGTTGAAGGCAACAGCAGTGCAATTATGTTTCTGTTCCAGTGTCAGTGCAGGGGTGAGTCCAAGTGTCTGTAGTCCTGTTCGGGCTTTGGGGGTGAGGCAAGCATAGAGGTCAGATTCAGAGGGTAGAAAGAGCTTTATTCCTTTGTCAATGGGGGTGATGGAGGTGTAAGGAGTCTGGGTGATCATGTAGATTTTCTGTCCTATTCCGTCAGGGTCAAGGGGAGGATCAAGAGCATAGAGGAGGCGAAGGCAGTGCATTTTAGGTGAGGTAGTGGTCTGGTGGAGGAGGTGGTGGTGGGTTGACTCAGCTGGGTAGCTGCGATCTCCGTGGAGCTGTGGATCTTAGGCTCGTGAGCTGTGGGTTGGAGCTCGGTTGTCAGAGGCGTAATTCCGGGTTCTTAGCAGGCTAATTGAACCCGGTTCGGCACAAATACAAAGTATTCGTGAGTCCTGAAGGTGTTACTCAAGGGCAACCCCCACTGCTAGTTGACTCGCACTATCACGAGGTTCTAGCAGTGGATCGGCATAGCAAACAAGCCAGGCAGGGAGACACAGGGCGCAAGCACGTGCTGTGGCCCCACCTGGGAGGAAAGGACGAATACCCCACTGCACTTTCACCGCACAGGGGGTAGGTCCCGGCCTGAAGAGGAAGAAATGTTTAGCAGAGGAGAGAAAGAGTGCTATATACGGCAATACACATTACGTAAGTTAGGCCATCCAGCTGTCCCTGGTTTTATTCAGGGTGGCAGTACGGGTTGGCCCACTAGGGTAATGTATCTTTGCACGTTATATCACTGATAGAGCTGTAACATAAACCGTGAACACGCCGAGAGGAAGAGCCGTCGTTGCCTGAAAAAGAGGTGTGTGCCAGTTTGCCTGGGTGTTGCCTTGGATGGAAGATGGCTGTGATAAGGATGTGGCCCCAGGTAGGGTTACCACGAGAGTATGCTCGTCTGGGCCGACCAAGCGGCCCTGACCTTGCAAGTTAGCAACAGGTGCTACTAGCGCTCTGCATCTCTGGCTGTTGAATCCATGTTGGATCACTGTGGTGGTTGTGATGTTAGATGCCTCAAAACGGTGGTCCCATGTAACTGCAATAATGCAGAGGCAGGTGGTTGCAGGTGCGGGGGCGCTCAAACAGCGTATCGCCTAGATCTCACTGCGAGCGCGACGTGCTGCTGCTTCCGTTGCCAATGAAAAGATGTGCGACGTGCGAATGCCCGCACGATTTCCCGACTATATCCCATCAAGCGGACGTACTAGTAGCATTGCAACTCCTGCCTGCCCTTACTTTACGCTTGTGGTCGAGTAGACACGGCTTTCTCACAACGCTTTCAAAACTGCAGTTGCCTACTCGTCTGTTTCACGTCCCTGTGAAATGACTTTTGCACAAATCCAAAAAATAGAGCAAAATCAGCGATAATAGTGATTGAGGTGAGCCGCCTGTTGGCTGCAGCCAGAGGAAGGAGGGGAGGGGCAACGGGGTGACGTAGGCGAGTCGAGCAGCCAATGGCGCTCGAGCAAGCGCCTCGAGACGGCGTATATAAGCAAAAATTTTTCGGCGCCGGCCATCACAAACCACAGTTGTTCACCATGGCTCGCACCAAGCAGACTGCTCGCAAGTCCACGGGAGGCAAGGCTCCTCGTAAGCAGCTGGCCACCAAGGCAGCACGCAAGTCTGCTCCTGCCACAGGGGGTGTGAAGAAGCCTCACCGTTACAGGCCCGGAACGGTCGCCCTGCGTGAGATCCGTCGTTACCAGAAGAGCACCGAGTTGCTCATCAGGAAACTTCCCTTCCAGCGTCTGGTGCGCGAGATTGCCCAGGACTTCAAGACCGATCTTCGCTTCCAGTCGTCTGCCGTCATGGCTTTACAGGAGGCATCCGAGGCTTACCTGGTCGGTCTCTTCGAGGACACTAACCTCTGTGCCATCCACGCCAAGCGTGTCACCATCATGCCAAAGGACATTCAGCTTGCTCGCCGTATCCGTGGAGAGCGTGCATAAGCTAAATCGACCACCCTAGTATACACCAAACTCGGCCCTTCTCAGGGCCAAAATATCCTTCTAAGGAGATTTCAGACATTCCTAGCATCAGTCATATGAATTAACCTTCATCTACACATATAATAAATAAATAAATAAATAAATAAACAAATACACTAATTTAGGTGTCATACATACACGTGATATCAATAAATCAAGTCATTTGTAGTACAACCTGTTCTCTTACAAACAAAACGCCGTCGCTTTTCGCTCTTATGCACTGTCAAGGATCACCCCCCCCCCCCCCCCCCAAAATAAAAATTGTCATACTGTACTAGAAATAAAAGCAGCTTGTATAAGTGACATACTGTCCAGTCCTGTTTTATTCTGTTTTCGGTCCTCTGGCTTAATCTGTTAAGTTAGGAGATGACATTTTAAATTAACCGTTTTCTTGACATTTTCAAACCTAAGAGGGTGGCCTGCATAGTAATCCTAATGTGGAACATAACAATGAATCTCTAATCTCTAGAAAAAAGATACCGAGTGCTTATATGTGTTGAGAGAGAGAGAGAGAGAGAGAGAGAGAGAGAGAGAGAGAGAGAGAGGAGAGAGAGAGAGAGAGAGAGAGAGAGAGAGAGAGAGAGAAGAGAGAGAGAGAGAGAGAGAGAGAGAGAGAGAGAGAGAGAGAGAGAGACACAGACAGACAGACAGACAGACAGACAGACAGACAGACAGACAGACAGACAGACAGACAGACAGACAGACAGACAGACAGACAGACAGACAGACAGACAGACAGAGACTGAGAGAGAGAAACACACACAGACAGTTTCATAAATATTCTCATTTTATAGCTATTTGCTTTCAGTGACAGAGGTTTTTGTTATAATAGTATTGGTGTCTAACACTCACAATCTCTTTAGAAATTAAAGTGTGGCTCCAATGGAGCCGAGTTTGTTGGTTTGAGGCCAAGCCACCACCACAGGGCAGTAAGTAAGCCGTTTACTTGGAGGAGGTGTACTTGGTGACGGCCTTAGTGCCCTCAGAGACGGCGTGCTTGGCCAGTTCTCCGGGCAACAGGAGCCTTACAGCCGTCTGGATCTCCCGACTGGTAATGGTGGAACGCTTGTTGTAGTGGGCCAGGCGAGAAGCCTCGGCGGCGATGCGCTCGAAGATGTCGTTCACGAACGAGTTCATGATCGACATGGCTTTGGAAGAGATACCAGTGTCGGGGTGGACCTGCTTCAGCACTTTGTAGATGTAGATGCTGTAGCTCTCCTTCCTCCTGCGCTTCTTTTTCTTATCGCCCTTGGCAATGGCCTTCTGGGCCTTTCCGGCCTTCTTGGCAGCCTTTCCAGATGCCTTGGGTGGCATGATGATGCTCGTGCTGGCTGGCGTTGCGATACAATAATGAACTTTTGCGCTGAACTGAATAATACAGGAGAAGATGCCCATTGGGGCGAGCCTTGAAGTGGGGACAGCTGAAGAGTAGTCGGTGAGAGGAAATGCTGAAGTTGAAGAAAAAGTGCCAGGGCTAAACCCAGCTGCGTGGCAATACGTCGATGCTGCAAACAACCCAACAACTGGCTAGGCTTGGAGGCGGGTCTGGAAGGCGGCGGTGGCAGTGCTTCAGCATTCAAGGTGGAAACAATCAGTCTTCATGTGGTGTCTTCTTCTTCTTCAATTTGGTGTTTTCTTCTTTCTTCTTGCTTCGAGTAATCATTTGATGTTTGTAATCGGCGTAGTCTGGTGGGAAAAGGTCCTTTGACAATGTGGTTTCGTCGCATTCAACGAAGATTACTTCGTTCCTTAGTATGTACTTGGAGTTTGGATCATTCAGCAGGCATTCCGCATACCTTGTGTTGAGTATTTTGCTGGAGAGGCGTCTGTATTCGGGAGTTCCAAGTGTAAGTTGTTCACGTTGATCATATAGTGCGGAGACTCTTGGAGACTCCTGTGTTGCTGGAGATGGTGATTGTGCTTCAACGTCAATCGAGGCAGTAGAGTCATCATCGGAAAACAAGTGTTGGTTTTCAGAAGCATCAGGTGTAGGTACCTGTGAAGCTGATGTAGTCTCGGGTGCGGCTGGTGTATTTTCTGGTGAAGCTGGTGAAGTTGGTGCAGTCTCAGGTACCACTGGAGAAGTAGATGGTTTGTCTGGAGTAGTAGCAGTGTGCAAGGATGTTGCAGAGTCTGTAGCAGGTTGCACAGGGTGGGCGTCAGCAGACAGGATATCTGCCAATGCAGTTGAAGAGATGGTGATGTTCATGTTAGAAGCAGAAGTGGTATTTGTTGCTGAAGTCGTAGTATTGGTGTTGGCTGAGGCTGTTGTTGTGAAGAGCTCGTCACGAACAGTAAATGTTGGTAAACCGTTGTCAGCGTACATAATGTTCAGAATTCGTACAAATTCCTTGGTGTTCGTGCCTGCAATCATTTCAGCAGTGCGGATGAGTCCCATTATGACGTTATGGTTTCTGTTAGGGAGCAGCATCTGGTGTGGTGAGGGCTGGCTTGTTGATTCAGCAGAGTAAAGTTGTGGCTGTTGCTGCTGCGTCGATGATTGGTTGGCGGGCTGGGACCCAGGGCCCCAATGGGATGCAGTCTGTGCAGAAGCTCCGCCCCCTCCCGGAAGCAGAGGAAAGTTGGCGGCTTGCACGTTGAATGTTGACGGTTCTCGTCGTGTGGTGTTGGCTTGCCTGGCTTCGGTCATCTTCTGTATTTCTTGACGTCTGTTTGGACACTCAGCAGAGACGGCAGTATGGTGACCTTGGCAGAGAAGGCATTTGAGGAAGTCGCTGGTGCATTGTTTGAAGTGGTGACTCTCGGCGCACTTGCTGCACCGTTGGTCCTGAGATGGGCAACTTTTAGTGAAGTGCTCATAACTATAGCACTTAAAACACTGTCGTAGCTGGTAGTAATGTTCTCTTGTTATTTGTCGGAGTGTACAAGCGAGGCCGAAGCACCGGAAGCCGTTGGTGGTAGCAGAGGTAGCTTCCTCAGGCGAGGTGAAGGTGACCTTCATAGTGGAGAGGTGGCTGTCCTGCACAGGGATGAATTTTACGGTGACTGCAGTCAAGGAAGGGTTGTCTTCGGTTATGCTGGTGGCGACGTCGGTGGTAGCTTTTTCGGAGATGAGGGAGCTCACTCTCCTTACGAAAACAGTCCTGGCTGCGAGGTAGTGTCGTGGTGGGGTGAGGAACATGTGCGCCTCCTCGAGAGCAGTGAGGTGAATGGGGTTAAAGAGGCGTTGTACGGCCTCGGCACTGCTGAACAGCAGTTGAGGGAGTCCATCATCGTTGAGTACGACGTCCAGGGGTGCAACATTGGTTGTAGTGGTGATCAAATCCGATATCTCTGATCGAGTAGGGATCTGGTTCCCTCTGAATCGTACCTTGATTCGGTAGATCATGGCTCTAATCGTTGCTGCCTAATGTTTACCCACCCGGCAGTGCTGGGTGCAGGAGAGCCTGATCTAGAGGGTTGCACTTTCCTTAAGAGGTCTCCCGTCTCTTACCGGTTTAATGCACCGGATCAGGGTGGGGTCTGACCTCTTAAAGCAAAGTACTCAATACTCGACTTTTGCGCGAGGCGAGCTTTCCTTTTATATCCCGCTCGCGACTCAGCTCAGAGCGGGTCGCGTGGCGGAGCGCGCTGATTGGTCAGTGGCGGACTCCCTTGATCCTGAGCGGGGTATATAACACGAAGCTCGATCTGCGGGCCGGCATTAAAACACCACAAACCCACAACAGCAGCAGCAATGTCAGGACGCGGCAAGGGAGGCAAAGTGAAGGGCAAGTCAAAACAAGCTGCTAGACAGGAATCTCCCCACTATCATCGCAGGAGACCTGAATGCCCACCATCAGGCCTTATTCAACGCACCTGCCAGGCCAGACCTCAAGGGCAGGCAGCTCTTCAATCTAATGCAAAACCGGGACCTCTCCTTCCAAGGCCCCCACTTTAAGACGTTCTTTGCGGGCAACCATAGGGGCACCCCTGACATAGTGCTGACCAACAGAGATTGTGACCTGTTCCACTGCAGAGTAACCCCAGGCAAGAACGTGGGGTCGGATCACATCCCTGTGGTCACATCTCTCCAAGCAACCCCCTTCAGATATGTGGCACCATCCAGGCCCAGATTGGAAACCATACGTGCCCGTGACTATGACACCTTCCTTGCTGGCGACCCCATCCTTGAGTTCGACAACCTCCCAACCCAAACAATCGACCAAGCAGTAAACACCATCCACAACCGGATCCAGCTTGCAACCGAGGCCACTTGTGAAATATCCACCACTAGGACTTACCACCAATATAAGCCGACCCGAGAAATCAGAGGCAAAATGAATGTGTACCAGCGAGCCTGCCAAAGCCACTACCAAACAGGCCAGCCACCAGCGTTGACCCTACAAACACTCAGAAGGGAAACCATAGACCTTACGCTGACCCACAAGAGCCACATTTGGAGAACCCTAGTGAGACAGGCCAACCAGTACAAAAGGGAGCCGGGAACTTTCTGGCGCAAGATCAGACAGCTCCTGGGATCGGTTAACCCCAGCCTCACCCACCTTGTACACACATTCCTTGACGAAGATGAAGAGGAGCAACAAGAAAAATAGAAGACCCGCAGGATCAGGCTGACCTCATGGGCGCAGTTTGGAAAAAGACACTCACAGCTTCAAACAGCAGAGCCTTCAACAACACTCACTTTGAACGTGTCAACCAATGGACAACAGAAAATGCCGCCTCCCTTAACAGCACCCCTCTGATTGACCTGACAACCCTAGAAGACGACCACCCTTTAACAAGACCCATAACTATGCTAGAGATGAGAGGAGTCATCAAAAACACCAGAGATAAGGCCCCAGGACCATCAGGGATCAAAGCTCTGCAGATCAAACTTCTACCAGGCAATCTTATGCAATCCATACTCAACCTATTCAACGCTATGCTGGCATCGGGTCACATTCCTGTAGCATTCAAGTCAGCCAAGATGATATTCATTCCCAAACCCAAGAAAGACCCCCACCAACCTGGCAACTACCGACCAATCTCACTCTTAGACTCAATAGGCAAGTGCTTTGAAAAAATCATGTCAAACCGCCTTAACTACTACATGGAGTACAACAACCTCTTCACAGAAAAGCAGTTTGGCTTTCGAGCACATAGAT